TGCCAAAACTTCTGAATATTCCAGTAATGACGCCGATGACACTTTCGCGTTTCTGAAGTCGTCGAATACCAAGCACGTTTTGATAATATTTAATATGACCGCAGCGTACCTTTGGAATACCCATCAGCTCATCAAGAAATACTCCTTCGGCAACATTGTCATAAGTATAGGAAACGGGCACAAGATAGCAATCAGGAATTACTTCTAAATATGAATGAGACCTCTATAATTAATCCGCAAACTGTTAACAAAACAAACTACTTACTTTCCTGCACGGCAGTAACGACATTTGATATGAGACCGTGTTTTGGTAACAATGGTTTGCCGAATCGACTCCTGAAAGAAAAAAAAATGAATGAGATGCAAAATCTCACGACTGAGCAGAGATACACGAAGGGATTTATCTGAAGTAGTAATAAGCAGTAATAAACAGGGCAAAGCAGTTTCTCTTGCGCGTATCCATCACAATCTTGCAACTAATCAACCACTCTGCAGACTCGTGTATGCCGAGCCTTTAGCGGCAGAACGTTTGATCCCATGCCTCCAAATCAGCTCACGATAATAAATATAGCGGGACCAACCTAGTGCCTTCCAAGAAGAACTCTATGCACATCCCTTTCTTCAAGACTTGCTCTATGTAAGAGTGAAGAACGGCTCTGGAAAGCTAATTTTGTATTAAAGAAGATACAACAAAAAGCAAATTTAATGATAATAAACAACGACAAAAAAGAATCTCAAATTCAGAACAAATTCAACCTGTAGATCGCGTCCTTGCCAGTTTCATCATGCTCATCAACCCTTCGGTGAATGAAGAACGCACCAGTTGCGCGAAGAAGCCATCTGAATTTTATTTATTTTGATAGCGAGGAAAAACTGTTGTCGAAATGATTCGCACCCAAGCCCGCTCAAGTTCAAGTTGTCTCCTGACGCTATGTGTGGCAGACGAAGGCCAAAATGCCACGAGGCCCAAGTTATAAGCAGGTAATCAAGATGAGAACGATGTAGAGGCAGATATACAAGTGGGATTCCAGTCTGCAAATCATGTGTGAGACTGAAGCCATCGAAGAACCTAGGTTACCTTTTCAGCTTCAACAAGTCGCTCCATCTGTTGTGGACAAACGAGCAAACGAGTCATCAGGCGGCGAAACACCTGAGAGAATCATTAACATGGTCTCGAGCGAAGACAACATAAAAACACTAGCATACCTTATAAAGCACATATCCACATATTTTACAGATGAACCGCGACAACGTAGCTCGAATTTCGTAGTAGAACTTCTTCACTTTCCTTTTTATTTTGTGAATCGAGACATCTGGAGTACGAACTTCTTCCACTTCTATTGCTGAATCCACTCT